GTCCAACCCTCTTCCCAGGTCTGCAGACAACATCACAGTTGAGGCGATCGTTTCCGGACTGTTCGCGCGTTCCCTGCACAGGGCCTTCAACGACGCAATGCTGAAGCTATCTGACCCGCAGAAGAGGATCCTCAAAGGGTCGCATGACTTGGTGGAGGCATATCGAACTTGAAGATAGGCTGTACGAACCGGTAACGGCCGACGCAAAATAAAGAGCCCCGATGTCACCATATAGCTCATCGGCTCATGAGAGAAGTTGGCCTGCCTGAAAACTGAGAATGTTTTGATTTGGAAACGAGCTCAAAATTTATATCACGTGATGATAGGTTGACACCTATCTCCTTATCGCTATCCAAGAAGCAACCTCAACCTACGGCATTCGAACATCTCACTTAATTCAAGAGTGGGCGTATACGGTTGGGCCATACAACCATGGTATTAGAGGGCGTTTGATTAAAAGGCCAATGCCTGCAAAGCAGCCAAGTTCAGTTGTCCCCGCACAACTGTCTTTCCTTACGATATACAACCCGTCCCTTGGATCTACGGAGGAGACTCTCAGAGATCAAATCGTCTTCTACTATTCAACAAAGGAAAATGAAGGGCCATCAATAAGGAGACAACGGAGGAGTACGCTGGGAGCCGTTATCGATGATACTGAAGTCGATAACAATGAGAAGTTGCGCCAGATAGGACTCGCGCAGGGTATGGTGAGCTTTGGGAAGTAGGTATCGCCTCCGGATATCGCCCGTGTAGATATCAGTGGCAACGACTGAACTTGCTATAGGAACTTCTCCAATGGCGAAGCGGTAGACACAGTTGAGACGGAAAAGTCTCGGATCGTGTTGCATGAGCTAGAATCTGGTTGGTGGATACTAGCTGTAGGGATTTCTTCCCACGTTCGTATTGTTCATATCTAATACATTTATAGTCTATCAACTATACTCGTATATTCCCAGAGCCACCCGCCTCACCGCAACCACGGCCAGAGAATGCGCCGGCACCTCGAGTCGAATATTCTTCCCGCGAAGTTGCCCCTTCACATGTTTCTTCAGCACTTTTTGGAGGCATCCAATTCTTCTCCATCACGCGGCCTCCCTCGGCATTTTTTAAAAAGTTTGCGAGGCCAGCATTTTGCAGTGCACTAGAGCAGTTTTGGACAAAATTTATATGGATTGGGATCCTCTTTGAAAGGAATCCCAGCAGATGAGATCTTCAATGGTATCAAACTTGCGGCGACGGGGGAACTAGGGATGGTGTTGGAGAAGAGGAATGGGGTAGTGGAGAACGCGAAGTTCTGAAAGATTTTGTTGCGAGAACAGATGGCCTGGTTGATCTGGTAGTATCTCGTTTTGGAGATACGTCTCCCAATAACCAGTATGATAATTCCACTGCCCAGCACCCAGCAAATATTGGACTCGTTGGGGAAAGTCACCAGTGGATTGGGTGTAACGCCCTTCCGCATTCATTTGATGGTGTGGTATTCCCAGGAGTTGGGGCTATTTCCAGGCAGTCTCTTACTCGAGTTTCCCACTGGATGGAGTGGATATACAGGTATGGGGAAGACTCATTCGGGGTCAAACGTGATCCCAGATCCATCCGAAGACGAAAACGACGAAAAGTCCCCGAGGGCAGAGCCTCAAGTGGTGAAACCAAGACCCTTTCAAAGTCACCGAGCCATACTCCAAAACGCAGTTTGTCTCCTGGAATCCCTCCTCCTTTGGTGGTAGGATCTACACCCAAACCTGCCGCTGAAATCTCGAAATCTGGAGAAAATAACTCACGAGATGGCGTAAAACGTTCTACAGAAGAGCCCGCTGATCCGTCCGGATTTGGTACGGAAAAGTTTATGAAATTACTCACTCTAGGATACGGAACATCTTGGGTTGATTCTTCGAACTTTTCCCTGTCCCACCCTCGAGTAAATTTTTTGAAATTCGGTGGCAGCCCACAGCAAGCCCCATCAGAGACTGATTCTTTGTCCATGACTAGCTCCACTGAACAAGAAAGCACATCGCTTCCACGGCTGCACAATAACGGGAGGTTTATAATAGGGCTTCGTGATGACCCAGAGATTGAGGAGAGCGATGAAGAAGCGGATCCACAAGGCCCCGGACCAGGACATACGCCAGCGAAAGGGGCTCAAAGAGAGAGAACCGTCTTACGGATACTAACTCTAATGATGCGGGAGCGCACGAAAAATGAGGATTTTGAGGGTACGTTACAATTTGGTACAAGGATGCTTACTCACAAAAAGATTGACCTTTTAAAATATCCATAGATACGACACCCATCGATAAATATAAGGATCTACAAGTCGTAGTATATCTGGTAAGAATTCTTACACTGTAACTTATCCCACATCAAGGGAAACTAATCAGGAAACCTAGAACCAACCTTTCATGTTCACTTTCCTCTTTGAACCTCAAACACCTTCGTTACAATCCCCAACGTTTTACAGAAGTATCCATCACCAAATCGGGCCTCTTCAAAAGCCTCTGTTATTATCAACGTCAATAGACAAGATCCCCCAACGAAGTCCACTCTGGACTCAGTATCGAAACTCAAAGGATAGTCCCAGTGAACAGTCTCCTCTCTATGACATTATTTATGACCCTACAACGCGTTTTATTCACACATCCCTCCCAAACATTCCGGAGCCAGGAATGCCCGTGCAAACAATAAAACTATCATCCGCTGGTTCCTCTGAACCAACATGGACCCGCCAGGATACTCTCAACGTCCATACGCAAATCATAAATACATATATCGAAACCCGAAGTCGCGCATCTGAGATCGAACGGACGTGCAGGACAAGCCGGGGCTGGTGGGTATTGTGGATGCGATTAAGGGACTCTAGGGTGGGCTCTCATGGTGCCATACAAGGGGAAGAGGAAGAAGGAAAACAACAGCAGTCACATACTCCATCAGCCCATCACCGGAGCCGCGAACAGCCTCCCAAGGAAGCGTTCCTCGTCCGGAAAGCCAGCGACCACACTGCATCAGGCCACACTCGTTATTCCAGCAGAGGAGGGTTCTTCCGCAACAATATCGGTGCATCAGGCACTTCGCAGTCCAGTGCAGGGGATGGCCGAGGTAGCTGGACTGGTCCCGGGAAACTCGCCGAAGGTGTGGGACTAGATGCCCGAAGGTATATCGAGGCCCTGTTAAATTTGAACCGGTAGAGAATGGAAAGAAGAAAGAGAGAGAATATTCGAGCCCAATGCTGGATTAGTGTTTGCATCGCGAAAAAAGGGACAGAAACTGCTGAGGGTATATATCTAGTGGTTTCTGGCAAGGAACGTGGGCAGCCGAGACGCCAAGCTGTGCAACATGACAACCTAGTTAGATCGTGATGAGAAAGAAACGTCCCAGTGCTATTATTATCTTGCCTTGGCAATATAGCTACCCCGATTGGGAATCTTTACAACCCTTCCCGTCAGCTCCCAGCTAACCCCCAATAAACAAAACAATATTAAACGACGCATTTGGTGAGCAAAAGCGAGCTATGCCGCGCAAGCACACCTAAAAGAGCACTTCCATACCTTTTTTTTTTCAGTAACATTTAAACCACCCCCCATCTACTATCTGGCCCCGGAACTCATGATCCTCCACAAATGCGACGAGGTGCACACTACACTTACGCTGTACATACAGGAAGCTGTACGTACGCCCTGCAACCCTTCTGTTAGCTCCCGTAGGGCGGTGTAGGAGCACACTACCTCCGAGCTAGCTTCATACATACGTAATCCGCCTATTAACGACCCAAGGTGCATGTGCAGCGCATGTGAGGGACTAGTGCTCTCAAGAGCTCAAAATCTCAAGCCTCGACAGAGCTGACGACATCCAGACTTGGAGAATCGTGTTCAGCGATTTCAGGGGGCGTCCGTCCGCTCTTCTGTGGGTCAGGCCGTCCCACACGACCCTAAGAGTTCTGTCTCATCTAGTAACTGAATGCTGTGAAAGTGTCTCCGTACTTCTCGAGACTCAAAAACAACTACTAACTTAAATGACCTCGAGGCGGCTTTTCAACTCCCTAGCGTAGCTGTATGACTGTCCTATAATTACATACTACATTATCCAGGGGCTTTTCGGGAAAGAAGAAAAAAAGAAAAAGAAGACGACGACGACGACGACGAGGATGACTTCATTTCTTTTTCTCGTGTCTGTTAACTAGGTTCTCCGTTCGTAATAAGAGTTCAACTAACTAGTTGTCCCTTGATTTACTAAAGGGATACTGAATGTTAGGTGGAATCATAATAAGTCCAAATCAACCAACCAAACAACCATTCAAAATATAATATAAAACAAACGAAAAAAAAAAAAAAAAAAACATCGAGAAAATATCCTTCACTAGATAGAATCTTCTACCACGTCTCGATACTTGGATGGATTCGATAATCCAGGAGAAGAAACAATAACCGTCAGTTACAGCTTCAGGCAGGCAAAGGGAAAAGAAAACACCATCGTAAATATGATCCATCAATCAATCACCCTTCGTCAACTACTCCCTTCCCATCTACCCATATATATTTCTTTACCTATATGCATTGCATGAACTATGATAAACCCAACGAGCGCGCATGATGTATACGAGAAACAGGCCTATTCATTCTGTACTCT